TGTTTGGGTTAACTTTTTGACTTTTATGAAAAAATGTGTATTAAAAAATTGTATAACTTAGTGTGTAAAGGAAAATTAGGATTGAGAGTTGTGTAGCCGTAATTGTTGACTTTTGGTAAATAGTGTTTAGCTTTTTAACTTTTTGAGTAACTTTTTAACTTTTTATAGACTTGTCAAACTTAACCTAAATATACAAAAATAAATAAATAAATAAAATAAAGAAGAAGAAGAAAGATGTGGAGAAAAACAAGAGAGAAATGAGAGAGATAGAAATAATTATAAGAGAATATTTTGATAAAATTAAATATTTATAATGGTAAATTATAAAGAATTTATTAAAAAGAAAGAGAAGTATGAGATATAAACATTTTAAAACATATTTAAAAATTAAAAAGGAGTTAAATGAATTTTTTTTTTCTATTTAAAAGTAAAAGAGTAATTTTTAAAAAATAAGAGGGACATGTGCCCTTGAACCCTATGTAGTTCCGACCTCAGTATAATATAACCACCACCACTGTTGTCCCAATCAAAACACCAACAATAATTGACTCTCTTTTTTTGGAAACTCCACAATCCTCTTTAGATCTCAACTATTGATGGTATGGGTCCTATGTATACATCAATGATTGAGATCCAAAAAAGATTATGATTTCTAAAAAAAAAAAAAAAAAAGAGTCTCAGAGCATTTTTCTTCAAACACTAACACCATGGGACTCATTTCTCAATCCCATGTTTCTATCAGCTATGCTAGTCCCACTGCTCAGTGGGTTTGTGAATTCAATTGGATTATCAATCCGGTAGTTAATTTCACAACCAAACAATGAATGGGACCACATCAATCATGTATATTTTGGGATCATGGATCGCAGGGCATAAATTCTGTTTCGGAAGATTTGTTTGGACTGTAGGGACTTAATCTGGTACACGTAAGTTGACACCTAAAATACCTTATATATATATATATATATATATAAAAGAAAAGAAAAACGGACCACATCAATCTTAGTTTAGTCATATCATAGATACTGAGAACAAACGTGAAGAGATAACCACCCCTCCGTATTTTATCATATCCCTCAATTCCCTTCTTATGACTTCTAACTCGTAAACACAACTTTGTTGTTCTTGCACTAAAAGTTATTCAAAAGAAAATTTAATTTTATCAGACAACTATAAATACAGAAACACATCGCATTTTATTTTATAGATTTTATGATTTAAGTTTATAATTTTATTTACTATTTATTTTATAAAATAAAAGATAATTTGTTCATATATTTATAAATATCCGATGAAATTAATTTCTTTTATAAATAATTTTTATTGTGAAAACTATAAGTAGACGGTTTAGAATTTAAATTATGGACCCAAGAGAAATATGAATACGTATAAAAAGGAAACTCATCCCAAACGTTTTCAAAACTCATCCCAAACGTCTAAAGGGTTTGCTACTTCTCCGCTCTCAAGGTTATACTCTTCATGGTTACTATTTTTTTTTAAAATAAAAAATAAAAAAGTTGGAGTGTGTCATTACTATCATGTCTTAAGGCCATACGACTTACCAATTAACCCTTTTTATATTGTCTAGATCAAGGGTCATCATTTGACCTAACTGTAATTAACCCTTTTTATACTCTAGATCAAGGGTCATCATTCGGCCTAATTGTTCATTGCTTGCTCCAAGTTTGGCGGCCCAACGAATGAGGCTTGGATTGAGGCTGGACTGAGAGGCTGAAGTCCAGCCCAGTTTGTAGGTTGAACAGAAGCAGTCCGTTTGCCTTCTCATTAACTTAGCTACGGGTGCTCGTGGTTCGGTTTTGAATGGTTTAATTTGTTGTTTGGACCAGTCCGTATATGTGTAGTTTGGAAAAATTAACCCGCAACCGCCCGCAGTACGGATTGCAATTTGTGCGGATATGATTCGTAGATGTATAGTGGTTGTAGGCAGTTTGCAGATTAGACTTTTTTATTTAAAAATTTATTTTTGGGCCTTTTATTTTCATTTTGTAAATATTTATTTTGGACCATTTTCTCCCATTTCTAAAATGCTCAACATTAATAATTAATGAATTAAAACTTATAAAATTAAAAACACAACAAAATCAATTCTTAACACAGCAAATCATTCAAAATCTTAAACTGTGAATGGTGTTCTTCCCCCTCCACCCCCACGCTTTCTCTTTGGGGGTTTAGGAGGCTTAAGTTCGAGTTCAATTAGGAGGAATTCATTTGAGAATTATAGGATTCCGAAGTTAAAAGATTGATTGCAAGACATTCAACACTATCCTCCATTCAAACTGGATTACAAAAATTAGAATGAAAATTAAATAAGAACTAAATAATAATTATAATATAAAAAAATAATTAACAAATTCAACTCTTTTTGAAGTTGTCAAACATTCATTTAATGTCTAATTTTTTAATCTCACATATTGAGAGATTGAAAATGACTGTTCAATAATAAGAACACAAAACAGAAATAGATTTTTAATTTAAGAATAAGGACACAAATATGTTTGCTAAACCAAGCCTTCAACAAAACTTCCAGTAAAAATTTTCTTACTATTAGGCAAACATCCTTTTTTCTAAACAGAATCAAGTATAATCACTAGTCATTCAAAATATGCACCTTCACAATCAGACTTTTTTATTTAAAAATTTATTTTTGGGCCTTTTATTTTCATTTTGTAAATATTTATTTTGGACCATTTTCCCCCATTTCTAAAATGCTCAACATTAATAATTAATGAATTAAAACTTATAAAATTAAAAACACAACAAAATCAATTCTTAACACAGCAAATCATTCAAAATCTTAAACTGTGAATGGTGTTCTTCCCCCTCCACCCCCACACTTTCTCTTTGGGGGTTTAGGAGGCTTAGGTTCGAGTTCAGTTAGGAGGAATTCAGTTGAGAATTATAGGATTCCAAAGTTAAAAGATTGATTGCAAGAGATTCAACACTATCCTCCATTCAAACTGGATTACAAAAATTAGAATGAAAATTAAATAAGAACTAAATAATAATTATAATATAAAAAAATAATTAACAAATTCAACTCTTTTTGAAGTTGTCAAACATTCATTTAATGTCTAATTTTTTAATCTCACATATTGAAAGATTGAAAATGACTGTTCAATAATAAGAACACAAAACAGAAATAGATTTTTAATTTAAGAATAAGAACACAAATATGTTTGCTGAACCAAGCCTTCAACAAAACTTCCAGTAAAAATTTTCTTACTATTAGGCAAACATCCTTTTTTCTAAACAGAATCAAGTATAATCACTAATCATTCAAAATATGCACCTTCACAATCGAATAGAAAATACAAATTATTTTTAAGAACTGAGATGAAAAAAAAGCTAGTTCAAAACATATTTGTTTTTCCCTTTTTTATTTTAAAATCAACGAAGCAAAACAATTGTAGTTCAAATTCTTCAGAACACTCACGAAGCAAAATAATTTGATTTTCCCCTTCTTTACTCTAAAAAATCAACAACACATACAGATGAACTGAATAAAAGTTCACCAGTATCAGTGCTTCAAAATCAATAGTCCCAATAAAGGGAACAACCCTTCAAATATCAACATAAAGGGAATAGGTGAAAAATTGAAAAGAACAAAATTCATACATTTTTTTTGCATTACGTTTAGTTCTCATCAACTTCTTTCAGTTCCGATCACCGGTCGCCAGTCACAACAAAGAGAGCTGCTTCTTGCAGTTCCGATCACTGGTCGCCAGTTGCCACAGAAAGAGAGAGAGAGATGGAAGAACGAGTATGAACAAGAGTGAGTGAAAGAGTGAGATGAGAAGAGAGAGGCTGTTCAGTGCTGCTGTTATTAGGAGTTAGAGTTTGGTTTGTTAGGCAAAAATATCTAGGATAAGATGAATGAAATCAATAGTCTAAGCTTCTTCTTTTTTTTATTTTTTAAAAAGGTCTAAGTGCGGACGGGTTCTTATGAGTGCAGGTAAAACTCGCTACCCGCAATAATACCATATTCCAAACCGTATTTACCCACATTGTTTCTACGAAAGTGCCCATTTGTATGCAGATTGGTGCGGGTTGGACAAGTTATGTGGTTCGGATAACCTTATACCCAGTCCTAAGCCTAATCCTTTGGCTTGTAAAAATATATGAACAAGAAAGAGAATAAAAAAATATATATATATATATATTTGAAAATAGTCTGTAAATGTCAGTTTGTTGGGGCAAGCCTGCAAGTCGGCCCACAAGAGCTCGCCTATCTGAGCCAAGCCTATTGGGCAAGGTTGGGCTAAGGGTTCGGCTTGGTTAAAAAAAACCCATTGGGCTTAGCCCGCGGACGAGTTTGGACGCAATTTTGGCGGGCCTAATCTAATGCCTACCCTAGTCTGAAATGAATAAATACGAAATTTGAATACCACATAAATTTGCTACAATAGCTTTAAATATTTATTGGATAAATTATAAATACAACCTATAAGATTTGATTAAAATATAAATTGTCTCGTATGATTTTAAAAATTACATTCTACCTCTTGATGTTTTAAATTAAATAACAAATTTCTCATTTTATTAATAAATTATCAAAGTCAATTAATAATTTTTTAATGATGTTAAAAATAAATTATAATTAATAATTTAAATAATTCTATTATTATATAAGAGAGCAATTATAAATTTTAATTTTTTTAGTTAATTCTGTTAAATAAAAAATTCTGATAAAAAAATATTTATAATTTTCTAAATCACAAAGAATAATTTATATTTTAAACAAATCTCAAGAAATATATTTATAATTTATCTAAAATTATTTATCGTTAAAACAATTGTGACCCCCTTCAACATAACAAAATAATCCCCTTTTATTATTTTTCTAAAATTTGTATACAGAATCTTACACTAAAATAACGTATATAAATTCTAAGTTTTTTTTAATATTTTATTTTGAAGCATTACTCAATGAACAAATATCAAATAACAAGTATTGAGGGCCTAATTTGGGACAAAACAAGTTGGCCAAAATGGAAAATGAATCAATCTCTATTCTGTTAGAACATTATTGTACATCCCTACAAGTCCTCCATTGTGGTATGCTGTATCTCTACTTTTTTACATAACAAAAAAAGGTCAGTTACAAACTTGAGACCCTAATGTGCAGCCCATTTGGTGCTTCAACTCTTGGAAATTTCATTAGCTTATCTCCCCCTACTTCTTCCCATCTGCATTTTAAAAAAAAAAAAGGCAAATCACATTTAGGGTATTAATAAAAATTCATCCAAAAAAATACGAAAGTGATTTATTACACTATCTATTTTCAATTTTGAATTAGTGGTTTACCTGTATCTAGTAACAAAGTAATGTAGGAATGTAGAAATTTCAGCTATTCCCAGTTCCTTTCCCGGACACTGCCTAGTGCCTCCTCCAAACATGAAGAAGTAGTTCTGCGACTCCGAGCTTTTGTCCTGCATTTGGCAGTCAAGGTTAAATTAGTTATTTCCTTACTCATTTGCGGTGTTATCAAGCCTACAATCAACTTACAACTGCTCACACATGAAATTTCAAATTTTAAGCTAAATAAATCTAAATGGGTAACATAGGAATTTATGATTTTTACTTACCATCCATCTCCATGGATTGAAGGCCAATGGGTCGGGATATAAACACGGGTCATAATTGTTCTCTCTTGTATAAACATATATTCTCCATCCTTTGGGAATGACAAACCCTGTAGAAACAGAGAGAAAGTGCTTTGATTTATCTATTTGTTGATGAAATCTTATATTTTACATGGCCAATTGGCTCATCCAGACCATTGAAAATCATATCATGTCAATAACGTAAATCTCACGCTGAAAGGGTATTGTTATGGTGGTACATTTCTCTTTTATAATTGGCCTAGCCAATAGTAGGGACCATTATATTTATATCGGTGTTTAGAAGATAACATAAGAGACTCACCATTCAGTTCCATGTCTTGCGTAGTCTTCCTTAAAACCCCATTAACAATTGTAGCTAATCTTGATGTCTCAAAGATCACCTGCACCCAATAAACACCAGATTAATCTAATAAATTTTCTTCAAGTTGAAACCCCTTTTTCAATTCCTCAGTTATGCAAACACAGAAACGAGCATAGAACACACATAAATTGACAAAATTTTACTAGATTTGTTTGATTGCCTATTTTAAAAACTATGTCTTTCCATATACATTGTGCCCGGTTCTGTGATCAGTTGCTAGCTAGGCTCAAAACTTCAAAAATACTCACAGAACGTGTAAAGTTCATCGACTTGAAATCATTCCAGTTGATTGGATCCTCTGCCCTTTTCCTTTCTGTTATCGCCAAATGCTCTTTCTGAAACACAAACATCCCAGTTAGATTTAAGAGCGCTCGAACACACAGATTACTATCTACAAGTGCAAAACATGTTGTCAAATCCACTTACCCTGAGTTCTTGAAGAACGTTGGGATGATCGTGGAGATACTTGACAGCCATCATAGAAGTAGTCGAAACAGTCTCGTATCCAGAATACAAAATTGCTATCATTTGATCAATTATCTCGTCATCTGTTAGATTATATCTGTTTTCTTCACCCCCATTCATTAGGAGACCAAGCATGTCATGTTTGATTTCTTGGCAAGCTCTTCTTTCCTCTACGAGTCGTCTCAGCATGCTAACAATGTTCTTTCTTGCCTATGAGACATCTCAGTTAGACAAAACATACATACAGAAATATTTAAAACCGTAAAACATCACTTCTAAATTTACGCCTTCATGTTAGTTGTTGATTTGTTTTGAAATGAACCAACCGAGAGCCAAATATCCCTCCTCCCGTTATTAATTTAGACTAAAGCATAAATTTTTAAAATTGATGATTAAACTGTAACATATCAGATACTTTAGATATCATTAGTTTACTTAGACTTAAAAGCAACATGTATTTAAGAAATAAGTTGGTGAGTTTACTTGGAAACCGCGGTGGTAATTTGTACCGGGAAGGTTGATGGGCAGAGAAAGGGTTCCCAACACCAGCTTAAAGAATTCAGGCATGAATTCCCCAGACATGGACTCCCATTCAATACTTACAATTTGGTTAAGCGACGACAAAAATGCCATCTGAACAACAAACAATGAGCAACACAGGTACCTTAAAAACAGTTCAACATTGTGAAAAAAGGAAAAAAAAAAAAAAAAAAAAAACACCTCTTTGGTTTTTTGTTGAATGTCAATGAGTGTGTTGTCCCAATTGCTGAGGTGGCACCTCATGAAGTCATCAAGTTTGGGCAAGAGTTGGGATCTGATGATGGAGGGGCACAGGAGAGAAAGCAAAGCAGCTCGGATGTGCCTGTGGGTGGAGCCATGAACAGCAGCAATGTTGGATTTGCCTAAGATGTCAAGCATGGACTGTGGGTAGCCAGGTACAAGGCCTCTTGACTCATTCATGAGTATGTATCTGTTTGTTTCTGGGTCCATTGATACTATGGTGGGGCATCCCAGTATGTGTGATTTGAAAAAACTCCCATACCTTTTACAGTGACAGTAAAAAAAATATATTATTACTACAAGTTTACAAGAGAAACTATTACAAGAGAAACTATGATTACGAATCTACAACTCGTAATCAAGATCAGTGACAGAAACACAGGAAATAAATGTATAAAAATTGTAATTCATGCTCACACACAAAAGTATAAGATTTATGTGGTTTCCCTCAAAACATAAAGTTGCGTCCACAGTTGCTGAGATTTGATTATGATAAAATAAAAATAAAAAAGGGACACGACAAACAGAGATAGCTGCCCCATCGCTTACATATTCATAGAAATTAAAGAGGTCACAAATATATATAACAAAAATATCTTTATTCAAATTTAATTTAAGTTAGATATGTGATCGAGTAATTAATGCCAACTACATCCACTATACCTCGACAATTACAAAGATGATTAGTCATATATATGTCAAAATGATTTGATAAAAATCTCGAGACATAAATTTTATATGGCTAGAAATGCATGAGACAGAAATTTTTATATGGCTAGAAATGCATGTGGTAGAACGATTTGGGCATGGAGAATCTTGTGTTCTAAAAAATCATGAGTTCTGTTAACAAATGTTCTAAGGAAAAAATAAAAAAAATAAACAGGCAAAAAATTTAAAACGCCATATCATTTTTACTAATAATTTCATAACACTTTTTCACTCCTTAAAATATTTCAAAACTTTTTTACCATTTTAAAAACACTTTGTACAATAATCTCAATAATAAACAAGGTATAGAAAGCATTTGTTAAAAAAGAAAACAGTTTCCAGAAAAGGAAATTAGAGGGATTAGGGGGAGGGGTTTTAGAGTTACCAAGCTTTATCCAAATTTAAAACGCGATATCCTTTTTACTAATAATTTCATAACACTTTTTCACTCCTTAAAATATTTCAAAACTTTTTTACCATTTTAAAAACACTTTGTACAATAATCTCAATAATAAACAAGGTATAGAAAGCATTTGTTAATAAACAATGTATAGAAAGCACTTGTTAACCTTCACCAAAAATCATTGTTTAGATATTTACTCCAACCGGTGAGATATGAAAAATTCTCAGTAAATTACACTGTTTGGGAAGGGTTGATTTTAGCTCCGAAGTCAAAAAGTAACCACCTATATAAAATAATGATTCCCTTTTTTTTTCCTTATGTTTTTTTTATAAAAAAATTAAAAATTCATTTTTTAATATCATATTTTAATTTAAAAAATATTTAAAAAATAAAATAAAATAGCGTGCTCCAAAAGGAGATTAATTCATAAAATTAGACATAACCCTCTCATACTCTCTGTAATGAATTATGTGCACGTAGATGAGTTGGTGAGGAATTGACTTATAATCTCAGTGAAAGTCACTTCTGATCAGTAAGGACTTCTTGGTTTTTATCGCTTTTATTTTATTTGTCCATCTACAAAAAAAAAGAAAAAAAAAAAACCAAAAACATCATCTACAAGACACAAATCAGAAGAGTTTGAAAGAACAGAGCTAATAAATAAGTTTGAAATGAAACTAGCATTTTCAAGAAGTAAATAAAACATGAATAAAACTACTGTATATGATGAGACAAAGCAAAACAAAACCAACAAACAAAAAAAAAAAAAAAAAAAAAAAAAAAACAGAGATATGAGAGGGAGAGAGAGAGAGAGAGAGGCACAAAGACTTATTATTACCTTTCCCTTTGGTTTTTCATGAAGTTTGGACCTTGTTTAAGAAACTCAGTAGTCTCTCCAAAAACTGGCCAACCCATTGTACCAGGAGGCAAGCCTTTCTTCATGTACCTGATCTCATTCCATCTCAACAAAGCTGTGCAAACAGAGACTCCCAATACCACCCCAAGAAGAACCACCATGAACACAGCCATTGTTGCTCTCTCAAGATGCTCTCCAAGTCTAACCCAATTCCCAGAGAGCTGTAAATGGTATTGGGCTTGCTCTATCTGAAGCTACTCTCAAATGTGTATATATAGGCCTGTGAAGTATTATGTGCTCAGACACATAAAAGTCGTATACTCTTTTAATAATCAAATAAAATAAAATAAAATAAAAAATTTTAAAAAAATGTTGGATTTGATTTGGGTAAACAATAGATTATGGGACTGTTTGGTGCAGTTTGTTTGGACTGCTTCTAATTTTTTTACTTTGATGATTATATTTGGTATAATTTTTGTTTATAATTTATTATCTATAAATAATTTAAATAAATTAAAACAAATTGATTTCTAAAAATTAAGTGAAAAGGGTTTTTGACTTCTGTTTTTAGATTATTAATTTTTAATTTATAATAAAATGTACTAAATAACACCTATATTTGGTTTGAAAGTCAAAGCCGAGTAATAATCTAACAAAATAAATTATCGCACATTTAACTAAGAAAATTGAGAATCATATTAATAATCAACACAGAAATAATATATTTTTTAAATTATTAAGGCCAAGTTTGGGAAGATCCAAAAAAGCCAAAAAGTCAAAAAGTTACTCAAAAAGCTAAAAAGTTAACACTATTCACCAAAAGTCAACAATTACGGCTGCACAACTCCCAATTTAAATTTTTCCCTACAAATCAATTTTTACAATTTTTTATTACACATTTTTCAATAAAAAGTCAAAAAGTTAACCCAAACATCCATATTTTCAACCTCAATTTTTTAGTCTAAAAAGACAAAAAGTGCACTTTTTTAGTCTTCCCAAACTTGGCCTAAATCTCAAGAGGAGTGATAGAATATAAACTGTGGACGGAGGAGAGTTTTTGACTACTTTGGACGTTTTGGCAACATGTCAAAAAAGTCAGTTTTTTAATTTTTTAATTTTTTTAGTCAAAAAATAGTCAATATTTTTTATTCAAAACAATCTAGTTTTTTGTTAAAAAAAGTCACTAAAAAAGTAAAAAAGTTAAATTTTTATCAACTTTTCAAAACACTCAAAGTTGGTAAAAAATTGACTTTTTTGACTTTTTAACTTTTTTAGTGTTTTTTTTTAAATAAAAATCGGTTGTTTTTGATAAAAAAAAATTGATTTTTTTAACTAAAAAAATTAAAAAGTCAAAAAATTGACTTTTTACCGATCTTTCCAAAGTGCCCCTAATAAATTCAAAAATTAATACATTTTGTCAATTGCTTCCCATGGTTCTAGACTGAATTTTTTTGTAGGTACTTAAAAATGGATATATAGATACTTTACTTCACATATTCACTAAGGAGAATTATTGGCCAACACAACCATCGATCTACCCGACACCCTCATTGCACTTGTGTTGGGACAAAAGTTAAGGTTTCACTACATGTTTTGAGTTTTGAAAAGTATGTTAATTTTACTGAGTGGGTTATATTCGAATCCAAATATTAAATAAATTTTTTTTTGAGTTTTCACCCCTAAATTAACCACTCAAGTGGTCTATAGGCTAATTCAAATATAGAATAAAATACGTAGTACAAAGAAATTGATAATACAAAATAATTCGCTATATTTAGATAAATATAATTTTATTATTACAACGTGTCTTGTATTTTTGTTGTCAAAAAAATTAAAAAAATCATTTTGAGTTGTTTCTATTTATTTTTTACATTTTTTTAAAAATTAAAAATTTATTAAAATAATTAATTCTCAAACGGGTTCTTATTATAAAAGGCTTTTATGAGGAAAAATTATTTCGTGCTCCAGTTATACCATGAAACTATGTTTTTAACCACTTACAAACCATCATTTCTCATATTATTTCTCAATCACTTAATATAAATTATAAATCTCTTTACTAATCACAACAAGAGTGGGATGCCAAATAACTTCTCTTTCGGGAAAGAGAAATAGGTGATTTGCGAACATGAGTTAAAAACTAAAAATTAATTTTTTATCCATTTTATATCATATCACCTCTCATATAAAATAAAATAAAAAAATTAATTTTTAACCATCACCATAAAACACTTCAAAGAGAACTCATTGCAAAGGTTGAAGACTAGACTGCATGGCTTTGTAGTAGTGGAAAGACTATGAGCCCGTAGAGTAATTCCTAGATGAAATTTTGTTCTCCGAATCTCTAGACTTCCAAACACTGTCCATGCTATCCCAATTTTGATTCTTGTAGCCTTGTGCGACAAAAAGTGATAAAAGGTGACTAGCTTTTTTTTTATATTATTATTATTATTATTATTTTAATAACAATGTTAAGGATTTAGAAATTATTCAAATTTTTTTTTTAAATAGTGTGTAGTTGAGATTTTAAGACCAAGTTTGTCAAGTTAAAAAAAAATTAAAAAGTTAAAATGTTACTTAAAAAGTTAAAATGTTATCACTATTTACCAAAAATCAAAAAGTACAGCTGCACAACTCTCAATCCTAATTTTTTCCTATACATTAATTTATACAATTTTTTAATACATATTTTTTTATAAAAAGTCAAAAAGTTAACCCAAACATTGGCCCCGTTTAGTAGAGCTGTGGGAAAGTGATTATAGGTTATACCTTAACAGCTTATAGCTTAGAACAGTGAACATAAGCTGATTTTTTACTTATAAATTAAGTTTCTTCTCCCCCACTAAAGAATAAGTTGATTTTTGAATTACAAAAAGTTATAATTAAGCTGTGTTGTTAAGTTAAACCAAACACATCAAAATAGCTTAAATTAAGGTAAAAGCTGAAATAAGCTGGAAATAATCCCTACCAAATAGAGCCATTTATATTTTTTTCCTCAACTTTTTAGTTTAAAAAGACAAAAAGCGCACTTATTTAGGACACCCTAAACAACCCCTAAATATGAATCTCATTATTTAAGAATAAAATTTGGACCTTACATCACTTTTTAATTTTTTTTTTTTCTGTTGGTATTTTGAATTGAATATAGTAACTTTTTTATTAATTCTTTTTCATATTTTAAAATTTTATTTTATTTTATATTTTTGCAGATTTTACACAATTAAACAGAATAGAAACTAAAATAACATAAAACAAAAATTAAAAGACAAAAAACTTGAGAGAAAAAAAATCACTTTTTTAACCCAAATTAATATGTTGAAATGAGTAGGTGGGATCCTCATGGACGAAAAAAATTATTTTGTGATTTAGGAGTATCACGTAATTATATTATTAATTAATTATAAATTATCATGCCTCTTGTTGTTCTTTAATTATACAATATAAAATTATAAATTTATTCTCTTTATTAATTATAATACACTTGAGACATTATGTGACTGTGCTCGAAGCACCACCAAATAACTTTCCCATGGACAATTTTCCACTGATTAATCACATCAAATTGACTAATTTTAGATTGATTGGAGATTTGGAGGCTTTTTCATTGATATTGCACTTTTAATCCTCTCATCTTTTTCTAGCTTGAAAATCTTGAAAATTCTTAGATATGCAAAGCAAACAAAACCTATCCCGACCAGTTCTATCAACTTTCTTTTTTACTCCATAATTTGCGCCCATGCATTTCCATCATTATTGTTTGATAAAAATGCTTAACACATTCAAATTATATTTCTAAATCTATTTTTAATAATTTATCAATGTGTGCTTAAATGTAAGAGTATTACGCATCATTATTTGATTGTTTGAATTATCATTGATGCTATGTTACTTTCTTTTTTAATTGGTTCTTACACATCAATCTCAATTCAAATTAAAAAAAGAAAAAATCAATGAGAGGGGATGATAATATTTATCCACATGTTAGATGGGTGAACAATACAAATTTAAGTATTATATCTTAGATATTTGGGGCTTTTTTTTTTGCTATTTTAACAACAAAAGACAAAATATGCTATTTTAGTCAAAAAAATAAAACATCACATCCAACCCATAATCATTACACTATTCTCTCACAAAAAAAAGCCAACAAAGTCAAAAAACCAAAAAGTCCTCCCCAAATCAAGTTTTTTAGCCTAGGCTAAAAAAACTAAAAAGCCAAAAAGCTAACCCACTTCCCAAACGACACCATATATGACTTATCACCAACTCATTAGTTTGAGATTTGAGATGTGAGTCTATTAAGGTTTCGTTTGGGAAGAAATGTTGAGTTAAGTTTGGGACTATTTTAGTTACAAAAATATAAAATAGGTTTTTTAACTCAGGGTCCGTTTGGCAAGCAAGATTGGGGCTAAAATAGCCACAAAAGACAAAATAGTCTATTTTAGTCACAACAAACAAAACATCATATCCAACCCATAATCATTACACTCTTCTCTAAAAAAAAAGTCAAAAAACCAAAAAGCCAAAAAACTCTTCCAAAACCAAGCTTTTTAGCCCAGGCTAAAATAGCCAAAAAAACCAAAAAGCTAACCCACTTCCCAAACGGAGGCTCAATAAGACTGTTAATGCATATATGGTATATATTCCTACATATATTAGGTATTGTCATAGTTAGGTCTCTTATAGGATATTCTTTCTTATAATTAGATTTCTATTAAGATTGTGTGCGTAATTTTCCGACCACACTGCCTGCTTAGTAATCAACTGGAGAGCACCGGCAGAATAGATGGCTTCAGCTAACTTGTAACAGAAAGAAAAGGCTCCGGCGGTGGCTCTTCCACCCGGGGGCACTCCGACGATCAAGTCAGTATATCTCTCAAAGATAATCAATTGCCAAAATCACTGCTCAAAGCATAAAAAAATCATACATTAGACCCACAGGGGTGCCTCTCTTTTATAGTTTACTCAATCCTAGTCCCATTAGAAGCTTGACTTCTATGGACTCCAATTCAATACTGACTTTGGACTCTTCAAGAAATAAAGATAAACTCCCTAAGAGTTTTATCCTTATCTTGGCTAAGTCTTCTCTTTTCTCTAGGACTCTTGTCCCTTATCCGCTTATCTCGGATTTCGATATCTTCGGAGATAACCTCGGCCTTGCCAAGATAACCTCGGCGTCACAACTAGGACACGTGGCACCTCGGCTGACACGTCGGCGTCACCTTGCCACGTGTTGGTATTCAGAAAATACATCC